CTCTCTTATACTACTATATTTCCTGCCTTCCTAATTATTAATTTGCCTTGTAGAATGTCTATAACAACGCCCTCTCTGCACAGCTATAGTCTGCCTAGTATTAGTTAATAGGAGAGACTAGGTACCACATAAGCTAAAAGCTAAGACCGCTAACTATCTAAATTATAGTCTAATGCTACTAACTATGAAATTCTTATGCCCTTAGCAATTCCCTAGGCATGTTGCAAGGGTCGCGGGGGAATGTTAATAAAGTTCCTCCTAATCTATTTTGCTAACTTTTCCTTAACTGCACTAAAACACTAGCACCCTAAATTAACTATTGCTTGCACGTTCTCTACTCTACCTAGGAGGAGGGGAATAAAGAAAGGCGGATTATTTAACCTAGCCTTAATATCTAGGGGATACTTAATAGCCTCTACTATTAATAATTCCTCTATTACAGTATCCTCCTTATACCCCTAACTTAGCCTAAAGTTAGGGGCGGCTAGTTTCCTAAATTAGGGCCACTTACTAATACTGCAACTGTCTTAATACCTACTAGTTGCAGTAATAGGGCATTAGGGCATGCACGCACAAAATAACCGCCCTATCTATACTAGGTGCAGACCCTTGCTAGTTTCCGTGTATTAAACAGGTCCTGTAGGATCTAATTAGGGCGTGATATTAGCAGTTTAGTAGGTGCACTTAATAAGGCCACTACTTCTACTATGTTTATGTCGCTATCCTAATCTAAGTTAGACTTCTGCTAGGGTTCCTTAGACTTACTAGCCTAGAGAAAACCTAGTTCTAGAGAGGCTATTTTAATATCCACCGCAATTATCTTGTATTCCTCTATAGCTATGTTATAGTTTGTCCTAGAGACTCCCCTATTAAGGGAAACTAAGCGCATGCCACTATTAAGAGATTACTAAAGTCGCGAAAGCTTCTATTTGTTGTCCTAGTGTAAACCTCCTAACTATATAAGGAGCTACATAAAATTTACAAAGAACTCTATAAAAGGCTAATTTTAGCCCTAATATAAGTGTTCTAACGCGACTTAGGCGCGCTCCTGCCTGTGATAGTTGCTGTAATAGAACGCTAGGTAGTTAAGAAACCTGCTTATATCCTAACGCTTGCGTGCACTATCCTTAAAGTATAGTACTATAGCGCGCTAGACTACAGGTAATAACTAGGACTAAATATATATAAACCTTGCCTCCTTATCCCTAATAAAGACCTTGTCTGCATGTAGTTTAAACTCTATAGTTATTTACTAGGAGGAGAAGTTTGCCTTAGTGCTATTATATAGCAAGCTAACTAGGAAGGGCTTACAACGTAAGGCGGGAGAGGGTAGAGGCAGCATGTTATTAAACCCGGCGGGCTTGGAGGAGGGTTAGGATAGAATCTAATTGCGTATTTCCTTGTTCTATTAACGTAGTATAGCTATTATAGCAGAGTCTTAAGCCTGTTATTCTATTAATCTATAGACCTGTTGCATTAGCCTTTCTACTGTATTAGGTTGCACCTAGTTATTCTAAACATCTAGCGCGTCTATCTCTTATTACTATTATAGTATATTTAGAAGAAGATACTAAAATGTTATAGACTAGCCTTAAGGGAAGAATACAATAAGCGTTGATAATAGTATTTAGTATCTTAAAGGAGAGATAAGCCCTCCACGCCTTTTTATAGGTGTCTAGTGTGTTCGCTTAGTAGTGGTGTTAGACTTGGTCCGTCTTGTGTTAGACCTAGGCTTAGGCATAAGCCTAAGCCCTTTATATTAAGGAGCACCTAAAGTTATATAATAGTAGAGTATATATTATATAATATTAATTAAAGTAAGGTAGTATATAAGATCTATTAATATATAATATAAGAATAACTAACTATAGCCTACCTCTCTATTATTAACTAGGTAGCTTCCTTAAGGAGCTCTATTACGTACGTAAAGCGTGCCTTAGAGTCTATAGGAAGCTACCTAGGTTACTCTAGCCTAGAATCTATAGGGGGAACCTTAAAGGAGCTAGAGTCCTTATCTTCTAATAAGGAGCTCTAGGCGCCCTTAGCTATAGTATTAGCCTTACATGTAAGCTTAGTAGTAGTAGTAGTAGCTTTTACTAGCTCCTACTACTTAGCCTTACTCTCCTTAAGGAGCACTAAGACCCTCTACTTCTTATCCTTAAGGTCTTAGCTCTTACTTACCTACTTCCTTACTAGAAAGGGTAGTATAGAGTATTAGGTAACCTTAGGGCTATTAGTTTATTAGTATAGATCTTACTATATATTATAAAGGAAAAATTCTTATATAGATTATATATATTAGGATATAGCTATACCTAGAGAAGTACTACTAGTACTAAGTCCCCCTACTAGAAGAGTTATAGCACTTGCTATTAGACTTATTAAAGAGTATAAAGCGTAGATAATTTAGATAAGTTTTAGTATAATAAATACTAGGCTCTCCTTAGTAGGAGGATCTTAGGGTCTCCTTAGGAGCTAGAGAGAGAGTAGGAGAAGGGGTCTAGGGAGGAGCAGGAGCTAGAATTAGAGCTAGAGGAGTAAGAGCTAAGGTAGAAGCACCCTTCCTTAGCTTCTTAATTTTAGCTATAGTAGTAGTAGCTATATACTTAGCTACTATATACTTTATAATAGCCTTATACTTAGTAGTAGCGCGCTCTTCTTTAGTAGTAGTAGCTTTAGTAATAGTAGATTTAGTAGTATAGGAGGTAATAAGGGTAGTATAGGTAGAGTAAGTATAAGTAGTAGTTTTTAACTTTAACTAAAATATAGGTTAGTAAGAATATAAGTATAGTTTAGATCTTTAGAGTTATATAAACTTATAATTTAAGCTATAGTAAAGATTATAATTAGGTAGATAGAGTTATAGAGCCTAGTCTAGATAATATCTAAGTATATAAGCGTAGGCTAAATAAGAAAGGCGCGCTAATTAGTATCTAAAGGGTAAGCTAATTTAACCCTTTAGATATATAATACTCTAATTAGCTATACTACCTACTAATTATAAGTATAACTATAATAATAAAAGATCTACCTATACCTAGAGGGTGTGTTATAAGAGGGATATTAACTAGATTATAGAGTATCTTAAGCTAATTAATCCTAGTTAATACCCCTGTATAACCCACTATCTAATTAACTACTAGCTTACTATTAAGTGCCTAATAAAAAGTAGGAGCTCTAGTAAGGAAGGTTTACTAATTATTTACCTTCTAGTAAGGGTAGCTAAAGCTCTATATATATAAGTCTAATCGTAGTAGATACAATCTAATAATCCATCTCCTAAATTATTCCTAACCTTAGTAATCTAGATTTTCACAGCTAGTATAGCCTACATAGTATCGCCACGCTTAATACTACCCTAGCACGTAGTAGCAAAACACGTGACTCACAAACTACCTAAGCGCATAAGTATAACCCTTACCCTACAACCCTTACCTCTACCGCAACCCTTACCTCTACCGCAACCCTTACCTCTACCGCAACCCTTACCTCTACCGCAACCCTTACCTCTACTGCAACCCCTACCCCGCCTATCGCAGCTACTAATAGCTTAACCTTAATATTAGCAGTTAGGTTAATATAATCACGTGGTATATCCTTTACTCCTACCCTAGGTTTACTAGCGAAAGTCGCGACTTTACTGCTAGCGACAGCTGCAAAGCGAATTAGGTAGGTATTATATCTCCTTGTATTATAGAAAATTACATTCAACGCTAAGACGGAGAACTTAGGCGATTACCCCTTGGCGCTTCCCTATTAGGAAGGGCGAGGACGATTAGTCTATTGTGGCGAGGACCATTAGCATTTCCCCCCGTCCAGCGCCTTTAACTGTCACGTGAGTGGTCAACCTGGTCACCAGCAGCACAGGTAAAGCGTCCGCGATGTCGTGCATTTAGGCCTTGGATCAACCTGATATGTGGCAACCTTTCTGTTACTTAGGATGATCTCGAACAGAGTCCTATGACGCAAGGCGCCTAGAGGGGCTGGCACAATCTCTTGAGCGTCGATACGCTTACAGCTTACCCTTCTACCCCTTTAACAGCACTGCTCTGTGCAAATAACAATCGATTAATCACTCGACTTAAGCACTCTCTAATATGGCTCCGTTTAGCAGTGCTAGCCCTTCCCACACTTAATCATTCCTATCCGAGCAGATACCCGTTCTGGACTTTTTCTTTATAATGGGCTCTGAAATGGGTTCGTGTCTATTGGGCTGAGGCTCTTAGGCACTACATTAAATTGACTAGCGGAAGTTGACTAGGATAGTTAGCTTCGCACAATGGCATTTGTCTATTTGGATTAACCATGCCCAGCCACACTACCATTCCCCGCTTCACTAGATCCTGAAGCTGTTCATGAGATCTTGCTAAGGACTGCACGGGTCGCTATACCTTGAGGCGAAATGTACATAATCATAGATAGAAGCTAGACTACAAAGTGTAGGTAAGTTGGTGTGGTGTGGTGCAGCGAATCGTTCGGGAAAGCTTTGGCTGTCTCCTAACCCTCTGCATCGGAGCGTAGCTGCAGATAGCGCAGCTTAAACCAAGTAGGATCGAATAGAATGAATAAAGAAAGTCGTAGCTCACGAGATCTCAATGTTTAACGGGCACGAAGCTGCAGATATGACATATGAGTAGTTGAACTCAGCTTGAATATGCGCTTAGATCCAATTTCAAATACCTACGAAAAAATTGGCTGTCCAATCACATCGACATCGGCCACCATACCACTTTATTCTCGCTCCACGGCGCAGCGTCAAAGCTAAAGTCTAACGAACACCTCAACGCTATTAGTAAATTATGCGGGTAAATTGGCTCGATAACAGCTATCTGATTCCTTCCGCTACCTGGCTGCTTCCGCCACCTGGGTCCGACAATGGCAACTCTCATCAAACACCGGACGCCCGTGACTGCTCGTGAGGGTACGTGGTCTCAATAAGCATAACCTGGTGAGCGTAGCAGGAGGTACAGCTAAGCTCGGCTTTTAGTCAGAGCAACTTGTTACTTCGTCTTATTCTTCTTGGAGTTACTGGACCCAGCCATCGTCGTGTCGGGGGTGATTGGTTGATTGCTGGACTGGTTGACTGACGTCACTCCTTCATCGGCCAGGCTATAAACTTCAATTTGCTGGGATAGGCCGGAGCGTGAGGAAGCCAGTTTCAGATCTGAACGTTGGGTTTCGGATAGATTAGAAACCTCGAAATTCAAATCGGCCGGTAACATGTCGATGGCGGAGCAGATTCTCTGAAAATGATCAGGGACCCAAAAGTCAAGGACATTCATGACAAAAGTCCACGCTTTCCACCTTTGGTCGCCCTCCGCCGTTGGTGAAATATCAAACTTGGCAATTGAATGTCGATGGAAAGTGAAATCTTCTCCCTTAATAACAGCATAATGGGCCCAGATTCTTACGTACTCATTGCTGTGAGAGATTGAATAGCCGTTGATTTCCCGGTCAAGCTCGTTCAGTCGACCGACAAGGCGGAATAGTTCTATTAGGTTGCGCAACGAAACAGTTTGACTATGAAGATTTTGGCGATCAGCCACGTCAAGCGCAGATGCTCCGCACTTCACTTCGCTAGTAAAAAATGGAAGGTACATATTGTACGTGGCCGCAATATAGGAACAATCTTCGAGTTTATTGCTAATAAAAGGTTGCAACTTTTGGAGCTGTTCCCGGGTGAATGCTTCTCTTTTAAATCCAAGGCCAAAGTCTGGTTGCGGACGAGGTCCGTAAAAAGGAATAGCGTTGATCCAGCCTGCGTTAGTAGTCTCTCTGAGAATTTCCAGGTGTTTCGCTCCGCGATCCGCCAGTATCTCAGCTGAGGGGAAAATAAGATCCGCAATACGGAGGATCACCTTAGTCTCATTCTCGCCCCTGAGGCTCTTGCAAATCTTCTTGAACAAAGTATCGTCTGAGAAAAGGGTATTTTCAGGTGGCTTTCGAGGCGTTTTTAGAAGCTTTGCTAAAAGCTTTTCGCTCTGAGCGGTAATCCCTTTATCATGGTCGTCCATAAAGCTACCGCGCTCCTGGAGTTGACCTTCGTATCGCGGATGTCTGTATGGAGCACTCTTTTGTTCTCGCGGCTGTTGATCGCTTGGTGTTCGCGTCTGAACTGTTTCCGCGCTTATGCTGGCATCCGAACGCTTGCGGCGTAGAGAAGATTTCGATCTCTTCCTTGCGAGCGCATGCTGGACAATGTCTTGAAATCTATCCATTGTTTTCTCTTGTTCCTCTGTTGGCCAGGTTCCGTTCTCTTTCCAAAACTCAATCCGAGCTTCGCCAATTGTCTTCTGACCTGGAATTGTAGATGTTCGTACTCGTTTTGCGGGAGTCTCAAGCGAAGCGTGGGAGGATGAAGCTTCGTGTTCTCGAGGTCGCTTTTGTTTCTCAGCTTGCTTGTGAGGCTTCGTCTGGAGAGTATCTTGAGTCCGTGGACGCTTCCTCGGCCGCTCGAGGGATGGGAGGATCTCGGGGTCTCGGGTGCGTTTTTGTGCCTCGACGACTTGTTTCTGGATTTGTCGCAAATTCGAGAAATGCTTCGTCATGTTAGATCTTCGACAATGATGGAAATTAGCGTAAACATGCCTCTTGCTCTGTTGATTCTTGAGTGTCCTGTTTAGTATTTGTTCGAGAGCTCTCGTCTCTGTTTTGTAAGCGTTTACTGCGTCGCGTGGCTTTGCTGATACCCTGATGCTTTTGCGCTGCGAAAAGTCAGAATTATTGCGCGGTGTGGCAGGTGTTACGACGTACCGTTCTTCTTCTGGGTTGACGTACGCCGTCTCTTCTGGGCGGCTGCAGGTGCTGAACGACTGGCCATGGTGATTAGAATTGAAGGGTCGAAGCGCTTATATGTGTTGCTGCCGGGATTCAAGTAGAGGGTTAACTAGTAGAAGTCAAGTCCACAGGAAACTAACGAAAACGCCAAGCCTACGCAACGCCGAGGCACCTACATCGCACTAATCCAAATCCGTTCCGGCACTAACATGGCCACTCGCCTCTCCTGGCTCGCAGCGACATGAGAAGCGAAAAACAGTCATTTGAGCCTTGATTTAAAAGAGGACGTTCTGGTTGATGGGAGAAAATGACGAGTCAGACGATCTGTTCGCGCCTCTGCCGTGATTCATCAGCTTGGATTAATTAGTTACAGAAGATGCACTTTACAAAAGGTATAAGAAAAGGATTGTACCACGCAGTACAGCACCTGCTATGTCGCATCAGTCAGGTCGGAGTAGTTGTATCTTTTTTTTGGCTACTCCGTAACCGTCAGCTCCTCTTGCTTCGTCAATCCACCCTCTTGAGTATGAGCAATGTCTCTCCTTCGCCAAAGATTAATAAGTGTAGCCACCTTTTCTCCAAACAATGCCTTTCCTCCTAGGGTTTTGCTCTGGACCATCAGTTCCGTTCACAGCGTCCAGCAGGCTTTGCCTCACTCTAAATTGCAGCTACCCCAGTCCGCATGAAGCTCCGCCCCAACGTTCCACCCTCCATTCAAGCGTACTCGTCGTTTGAACCAGGCTCTTCTTTGCCAAATGCACGCTCACCATCCGCATGTACAGCCCCCGCATCAAGTTGCCACCCTATGGTATGCACCCTTAATAACCATGGCAGCGCCGCAATTGGACCGATGCCACAACCGCCATCGCTGAGCCATGTTCGCATGAAATCTGCGCCGCTCTGCTAGCCCGTTGAGGCCAGCACTGTCTCACCATAGCTTAACTCCACCCTCTTGTGAAAGGCCGACGCCTCCAATCGCAACCGTTACTCTCTACCCAGAATAGTTCCGTACGCTGATCACTCAGCTTGGAGGAGTGCCGCCGTTCCGTCGATTGCGTTTGCATGAATCTGCCACACTCCTTTAGCTTCCATATACCGGACGTGTCCAGCCTTACCCAAGCGTATGCTATCCAAACTAGGTCCACATGACCTTGCTACAGTCGGTCATGCCGGCGCAAGGACAAGCATGAGTTATTCTCTCTCCTCCACTCTGCGCCACCCTGCTGGTCCGTCGAGGCTGACAATGTCTCGCCATAATTCAGCTCCATTCGCGGAAAGCCAACGCTCTCCAAGCGCAACCGCTGCTCTCTGCTTGGTATGGATCCTCCAGCGCTCGCTCAGTCCGAAGAAACCGTGATTTGCCAACCCACCCGCTGTCCTTTGCCGAGTACATGCCCGTACTTCGCCGTCGCTCCGCCGGAGGCCGTCACTTAGCTTTGTGACAGATAGTGTGAGGCGATGACCTCTTCTGTCAAAGGGCTCGCCCTTGAGTCGCTCGTAAGGATCGGGGGATCGCAATTATTGGCTAACTGCATCATTGGGTTCACTTTGGCGTCAGAACCCTTCTGCTTCGCAGTTGCGCCGAGCGCGAGAGAGCGTACGAAACGATCATTGCTAAACTGTCCGGTCGTTAGTAGAAGAACTACGAGGGCACTGAACACTAACGATGAGAACAAATGCAGACATAGTGACCGCATGTTTTCGCTCTGTAGCTTCCAGAATACCATCCAGGCAGATGAGAAGATGGGTGATCACAAAGAATGGGGGCAGTTTCTGGGAACTTTTCGTGAGGTGTGCTCAATTTTAGTCACCCTGGTTCAAAGGAATCGCGATTGGGCAAGAACAGCCGGCTGTAAGGAGGTCCGAAACAGCCCCTGTCTAGTGTGCACAGGGAGTTGCTCAGCCTCCGCTCAGTTCGATCAGCCTTAACTCAGGGAGCTCACGCTCGACTCAGGTTAAAGCGGCGGCTGCTCAGGTCAGCGGCTGTAACTGGAACCAGTTGTGCAAGAGAAGTTTGACTGTCTCTATAGGTAGGTATTTAGCTACTATCTTACTAAACGCGTCCTAGTAATCCTTATACCATACTAGGAGTTAGGTCTAAATATCCTCTATATTTATATAGCCTTCCTTATTAAAATCTTCTAACCTAAGCTCTATTTTATATAGATTAATAATAAAGAATTTATTAGTTAGCTTCTATATATTAAAATAAAAAGTATTAGCTAAAATTAGGGCTAGATTAATAGTTAGTTTTGGAGCTAGCTTAGCTATAAAGTAGATAGGCGCCTATAGTTTATAAGATAGTATTACTAATTACTTAGTTAAAGGTAACTTTAGTACACTACGTATCTAGTAGATACTACTAGGGCTCTTTATAGTTTAGCGCTCTTCCTAATTCTATAAGGTATTATACCTTTAGATATCTTATTCTACTAGCTATAAGTGTTATAGACTAGCCTTAAGGGAAAATGCAATAAGCGTTAATAATAGTATTTAGTATCTTAGAGGAGAGGTAAGCCCTCTACGCCTTTTTATAGGTGTGTAGTGTGTTTACTTAGTAGTAGTAGTGTTAGACTTAGTCTATGTTATATTAGGCCTAGGCTTAGGTATAAGCCTAAGCCCTTTATATACCCCTAACCTTCCCTATAAACTATTATAAAATTATCTTTCTAGGGGTTTAGGGTTATATCTTTATCCTCTATAATCTATATTAGGCTTTATTACTATATATTTAGGTTTTATTATTATATCTTTATATTCCTTCCTAATTTATAATAGGCCTATATATTAAGTAGTACGCGTATATAGCGTTTATATACTTATTTTAGTACCCTACTACAAAAGTTCTATAGAAATCTAGATGACTAAGGTTAGGAATAATTTAGGAGATAGATTATTAGATTATATCTACTATAATCAGACTTATATATATAGAGCTTTAGCTACCCTTACTAGAAGGTAAATAATTAGTAAACCTTCCTTACTAGAGCTCCTACTTTTTTATTAAGCACTTAGTAGTAAGCTAGTAGTTAATTAGATAGTAGGTTATATATAGGTGTTAACTAGGATTAATTAGCTTAAGATACTCTATACTCTAGTTAATATCCCTCCTATAACACACCCCCTAGGTATAGGTAGATTTTTTATTATTATAGTTATACTTATAGTTAGTAGGTAGTGTCTCTAATTAGAGTGTTATATATCTAAAGGGTTAAATTAGCACACCCTTTAGATACTAGTTTAGAGCTAGCGCGCCTTCCTTATTAGGCCTATACTTACACACTTAGATATTATCTAGACTAGGCTCTATAACTTTATTTACCTAACTATAATCTTTACTATAGCTTAAATTATAAGATTATATAACTCTAAAAATCTAAACTATACTTATATTCTTACTAACCTTTATCTTAGTTAAAGTTAAAAACTACTACTTATACTTACTTTATCTATACTACTTTTATTACCTCTTATACTACTAAAGCTACTATTACTAAAGCTACTACTACTAAAGAAAAGCGTGCTACTACTAAGTATAAAGCTATTATAAAGCGTGTAGTAGCTAAGTATATAGCTACTACTACTATAGCTAAGATTAAGAAGCTAAGAAAGGGCGCTCCTGCCTTAGCTCTTACCCCTCTAGCTCTAACTCTAGCTCCTGCTCCTCCCTAGACCCCTTCTCCTGCTCCCTCTCTAGCTCCTTAGAAGACCCTAAGATCCTCCTACTAAGGAGAGCCTAGTATTTATTATACTAAAACTTATCTAAATTATCTACGCTTTATACTCTTTAATAAGTCTAATAGCAAGTGCTATAACTCTTCTAGTAAGGGGACTTAGTGCTAGTAGTGCTCCTCTAGGTATAGCTATATCCTAATATATATAATCTATATAAGAATTTTTCCTTTATAATATATAGTAAGATCTATACTAATAAACTAATAGCCCTAAGCTTACCTAATACTCTATACTACCCTTTCTAGTAAGGAAGTAGGTAAGTAAGAGCTAAGACCTTAAGGATAAGAAGTAGAGGGTCTTAGTGCTCCTTAAGGAGAGTAAGGCTAAGTAGTAGGAGCTAGTAAAAGCTACTACTACTACTACTAAGCTTGCATGTAAGGCTAATATTATAGCTAAGGGCGCCTAGAGCTCCTTATTAGAAGATAAGGACTCTAGCTCCTTTAAGGTTCCCCCTATAGATTCTAGGCTAGGGTAACCTAGGTAGCTCCCTATAGACTTTAAGGCACGCTTTACGTATATAATAGAGCTCCTTAAGGAAGCTACCTAGTTAATAATAGAGAGGTAGGCTATAGTTAGTTATTCTTATATTATATATTAATAGATCTTATATACTACCTTACTTTAATTAATATTATATAATATATACTCTACTATTATATAACTTTAGGTGCTCCTTAAACCTTATAAATTATTATATAGTTAGGTTTTTAGTAAGCCTATTAGCTAGTATATTACTAGTAGGTAGGTAGGTAATATAGAAAGATCCCTTTATATACTCTTATCTAAGCCATATGTTTTAAATATCTATATAGCGTAGCTTAGTAGTAATCCTTTTATTATTACCTACTACTAACCTAATAGTTTATTAATTATTATAATTAATTATCTAGGTAGTATCTAAAGTAAGGTATATTTTAGTTAAAATACGTTTTAACGCTATTACTTCTTTACTTACTTGCTTAAGCGCAAGGAGCTCTACCTTAGTAGTTAAAGTAGTAATAGTTGCTTATTAAGCTGCCTTCTAAATAATAGGTTCTCTAAAGAGCGTAATTAGGTATCTATATAATAATTACTAAGTATTAATATTATTAGCAAATAACGCGTTACTATATATTATAAGCTTATTAGGATCCCTATTCCTATATTAGATTAATTAGTATTAAGTTTAGTATAGATAGACAATTACTTAATTAACCGCATTAAAGTGTTGTTTAGATAGGTTAGTAAGGTATTAGGAGAGCTAGGAGGCTGTATAGGCAATATTAGGGCGCACTATAATTAAGGTGTAAAGGATTAATCTAACGCGCTCCTAATAGTCCTTAATCTCCTTTTTAGTAGCTTCTCTAATACTCTTTTTAATATCTTTACTTAATAGTAGTATAGTAGGAAACTTTCCTATCTTTACTAGATTAATTTTTTTTATAATCTTGTTAATGTATTTATTATAAATAAGCGTTATTATCTATCTCTTTCTATCCTAGATTACTCTTACCCCTAGAAACTAGCTTATAGGTCCCTTTTCTTCTATAGTATATCTTTGCTTTAGAGCTTAGATAACTTTGTAAGCTTAGCTTGCGTAGTTTTAGTAATAGAGCGATAGGATATTATCTACATAGAATATTAACAAGACACTGCGATCTCTATTAAAGAATAGGTATAGCTCCTCCTTAAAAGTAATAAGCTTATTTTCTTAGAGTGTAGTTAAGAGCTTATTATACTATAATAATAGTAAGTCTTTTAATCTATATAGAGCTTGTTTAAGCTTAACGCACTTTCTAGGTATTTAATATCCTTTAGGTAGCTTATAGATAACTATAGGGTGTTAATCCCTTAAGGCGTTAAGGAAAGCTCTAACAACGTTATATTAATATATCTTAAGGTTAAACTTAGCTCTAATAGCTATTATAGTCTTAAAGGTTTAAGCTACTAAAGTAGCTGCGTAGGTTAAATAAATTAAGTCTGTAAGCTATAGTTCTCCTCTTACTACTATCTATACTTTGCACTTAATTAGGTAACTATCCTAATTAAGCTTATATATAAACACCTATTTAAGTAGGAGTAGATACTCTCCTATATTTAGCCTATTAATCTCTTCCTAGGTACTAGCTTTTAGTAGAGTATTAATTTCTTTATATACTACGTCTCTAAATTACTATCCTATGTAGTAGTTATAGAGATCCTTCTATTATCTTAGCTCTTTTTATAGAGCGTCCTAGTGCGTATTTCTTTTAGGGTTTTTAGGAGATTTACTCCCTATTACTACTATAATTATAGCGTAGATTATAGTGTTTAGTTTAAGATATACTAAAAGATTGTATAAGGGATTTCTAATTAGATCTATATCTAATAGATCTATTACTATATATATCCCTACACTTATAGAGCCTCCTAGTAGTTTATTAGGGTCCTGTCCCTAAGCTTGCTTACTAACACGCGTTAGTAGTAGTCCTTTAACTTGCGGTTTTCTACTTCTTCTAGGAGCTCTAGGTGCTGCTTATAAGGGATCTGCAGGAGATATAGAATCTAGACCTAAAGTAGGTAGGTAGGAGCTCTACTTACTACCCCTATAAGAGCTAGATGTAACAAGGCTAGGCTAAAAAAATAGCTAGCGCTTACTAGATGCCTAGGCTAGACTTGAACAAGGTTCATGGGTTGGCGCTAGGGTCTAGCACTATTATCTTAGGCTAAGCTTAGCTAAGATATATATATTATACTATGCGAGGATTACTTAGCTTAAGTATTCTCGTGCGTACCTTTTGGACCATAGCCAAGTAGTACAGGCAGGGGAGATGACGTAGTATTTATTTCACAGGTAGGGCGCCTACCTTATTACACTAGATAGGGTGCCCTTACCTATCTCTATACTCTTATAGAGTAACCTACTAATAGCACTCTCCCCTCTAGGTCTTTGCTAGGAGCTACCTGTGAAGGGCTTAGGCTTATGCCTAAGC